GTCGTCGAAGCTCCTCGGAGGCTGTGGATGGTTAGTGGAGACGATCGAAGCTCGGGAGAGCTCTTCGAAGAATCGTAGAAGAAAGAGACAATTCGATAGGGGGGACTTAGCTAGGACGCGGTTCGCAGTTTCTTCGACAATAGTCGAAGTCGAAGGGTTCGTCGAGACGGTATCGACGAGTAAACGCAGTGGACGAGGTTTCGAGGTTACGCAGCGAGGGACGAAGTGACGCAGTTGAAAGCTTAGACGCGGGGCGAACTCGACTTATGAGCTCTGAACTCGAGGGGGGGGGAACCGGATCTTGTCTTTTTAGAGAGAAGTACGACAGATTTTATACTACACAGGACGCTACGACTATCGAAAGTGGCACACTAGTACAAGGGGCTTTGCATTGTTCCTCAAGAAGCTGCCTCACCGAGGGGCACATACCAAGTCCATCGGTAGAGTGACGTCATGCCGAACGCGGAGATGAAGAGAAACATATGGCCACTTCGGACCGGTATCCGTCGTTGAAGGCATGCCGCGAGGTTCGATACCTAATCGGGAAAGACCGGCTACTTCGGTGTGGCTTGGAGCGAAGCGCGCGTTTGGCCGAGCGGCGTCAAGTGGCCCTATTGTTCGCCGAATGCGGGAGATGTTCCGGGATCTACGCGCGAGGCATCGGGACGACCGTGCCGAGCTTCGAGTGAGCGTCGCGCATCGTCGAAGGTGTCGAAGAGCGTCGAAGGCGAAATCGAACTGTTGGGAGACTGAGTCGAAGTGCCGGAAAGAGGTGTATCGGGGCCCAGCGGGGCTCGGCGCCTATCATCGCCTTTGGTACAGGTCCATCTTCCAGGCCCTGGTCTCGTCTTTCATCCACCGGTGGTTTAGCTCAACTCGTCCGGTTTTCCAGTCTATCTTGGGGTTTTCGAGCTTGAGCCAGGTATGGCCGAAGATGATGTCTTCCTTGCCGATGCTGGCGACGTAGGCTTTGACAAATCGGGGTTCTCCGCTTATCTTGTAAGATAAGAGAGCTCTTCGCGTGATGAGTGCTTCTTTGTTTGGAGTTCCATCCACGTTGAAGACGGGGATAGGTCGGGGAAGAGGTTCTGTCCGAAGTCGATGCTCTCGGACGAATCTTGGGCTGATGAAGATTCCAGTTGCGCCGCTATCGATGAAAGCGCGCGCCTCAACGTCTTTTCGTCCCACAGTAATCGGAATGTGCAGAGCGCGTTCATTTCGGACTACTAGAATTACACGGGACAGTGAAATGGATACAGGCAGTGGTTGTGTCGGCTCACCCTGCCCCTTCAAAAATCCTCCATTGTAAGTTCTTCGTACAGCTCCCGCTTCTCATCAGCTGAGAGTGTCTTGATTCTGGCACGGAAGTTGTCCTTCCCAGATCCTCCCTGGTTCGGTCTCCCACCCCCTTGTCGTGCAGCCGCTTTCTTGCGGCAGTCCTTGGCGCTGTGGCCCTTGATGTGGCAGTAGAAGCACAGGTTCCTGTCCCTGTGGAGCTTCCGATCGGCCTCGTTGAGAACAGCCCCTAGTTCCCATTTCCTTTCTCCCGACGTGGAGGCGAAAGTTGATGCGACGGCAGCGGCGTCAATATCCATTGGTTCACCATAGTCCCTGGTGTCTGTGACGATGAGAGCCCCCTGCTTGGCTGCGTCGGCGTTTCGGACTTCGTCGTACCAGGCCTTCATGGTGTTGGGTCGATCCCTAGCGACCCTTGTTGCGAGCGCAAAATACAGCTCCTTCAGGAGTCCTTTGACGAAGTTGGCATGGAGAGTGTGGTAGTCGTTCTCGACGCGGTTGGTGCCATTGACCTCGGCGTCCTTGAGCTGAGCCTTTGATGCTAGCTGCTCGAAGCGGGTGATGTAGTTACCGAGGGAGAGCGCCGTCTTCCTATCCTTCTGTCGTTCAGGGAGTTTCATCAGGATTTGATGTGCCTTGATTTGCGTTCCGTGCTCAGGGAACACCTCTTCTAGAGCGGCAACGAAGTCTGCCCAAGTGGAATAGACCTGGACTCCCCCTGCCGACTTTTCGTAATACGCGTCCACCCATGTTTTCCCCAGATCCTTCCTCATCAGCGCTACAGTGAAGGCGATCTTTGCTTTATCGCTGAGTCGGGTGTTGTTGGTGGCGACGAAGTAGGAGAGGATGCATTGGATGAAGCATCTGAGGTCCTCCGCCTTTCCACTGAAAGGTTCGGGAGCGGGGATGTCGAGGCGAAGGGGTCGGTTGGCCGTTGACTGCTGGGTTTGGTATGCTGCGAGGGCGACAGCGATGCGCTGATCGATGTCTGCTTGAGTGAATGTTGCCATAGGGACTTCAACCGGTGTGTTGGTTGGTGCGGGTGGGGCTGGTGGTAGTTCGATGTCTGGGATTTCGATGGGAACGTACTGAACTTCAGGGAGTTCGAGTGGTTGTTTGTTGATGGGTGACTGCACGCTTTCTGTTGTTTGTGTAGGTTCGACGTCGATCCGTAGGGTGGTGAATACGTCTTCTGGGTGAGCGGGTGGGTGTCTCTGGTAGTAGCTAATGAGTTCTTGATGGGCGACGACCTGCGGGTTTGGACCGGTTGCACAACACCAGGTGCCGCCTCGAGGGTAGATGGGAGCTCTTTTTGTGGAGGTGACAAAGCAGCGATCTGCTCGGTCGTACTGGAGGAGCGGTGATCCTGCGAGGGCTGGTAGTCCCAAAGGAACTGGGTTGACTGCATTGTTCGATGTGATGGTGGATGAGATGTTCGACTAGGTAAAACTAGGAACGTAGCTTAGAAAGTTCGACCTTTTGATACAACGGTCTATACTCCTATATCGATGCCTGACTCGTAGACGACGAGTGAGGGCTTATGGACAGTGCGTCGTCCTGAAGATCGAGCAAGGAAGTCGAGAGTGACCACTACCCCAAGCGAAGAGGAGCAGAGACTTGAATAAATAACCAGGTCGAACTTAGGGTTCGACCGACTAATGGTACAACTACTTATACAAGTACCAACTGCGCACGGACCATCGTGTCTATGTGGTCGTGTTAGTGAAGAAAGAAACGTAGTGGTACGATGCCGAGTACGAAGTGCGCACGGACCCCATTATGTAAGCTACATAATGTTCAACCTGCGGGTGAGCGCTAAGACAGGCGCCAGTATGGGTGCTAGTAGTACAAGGAATAGAACGGAAAGACAAATGTTTCAGCATATGTCCTGTCTCTGTGCATCTCTCAGGCCAAGGGATAGATGAGACCTCAAGCATGACACTTGATGTATTCCTTGATTGCTATGATGAATATGTCCTTGAACAATTGGTGACTCGGTCCTCAGGTATGAAGTAAATGTGAAACATTTATCTTTCCATTCTATTTCTTGTACTACTAGCGCCCATACTGGCGCCCATCTTAGCGCTCACCCGCGGGTTGAACATTATGTAGCTTACATAATGGGGTCCATGCGCACTTCGTACCTGGTATCGTACCACTACGTTTCCTTCTTTACTAACACGACCACACAGATACAGTGGTCCATGCGTAGCCGGTACTTGTATAACTAGTTGTACCATTAGTCGGTCGAACCCTAAGTTCGACCTGGTTATTCATTCAAGTCTCTGCTCCTCCTTGCTTGGGGTAGTGGTCATTCTCGACTTCCTCGCTCGATCTTCAGGACGACGTACTGTCCATAAGTCCTCGCTCGTCGTCTACGAAGTCAGGCATCACTATAGGAGTATAGACCATTGTATCAAAATGCATATAAGGTCTGTATTTTGCTCGGTGTCAAGGCAAAATACTTGCAAAGTGTAACAGAACTATTTGTATTACATTAGGGGCCATCGGTATGCCTGTTTGAGTCATGGCAGCCCTCTTGTAGCTGTTATTATTATTTCCCCATCGTACACTACCGTAGCCTACTGCAGGCTTGTGTTGTGAGCACGAGTGATTATAAACTCTACGTTTTATCGCAGTCTTTATCTTCTAATTTCTCCCAACCTATCCCAATTTATTGAGGTTCAAAAGATGATTTGCCACGTACGAGTTATCCACAAGTGTGCTCTACTCTTCTTTGATTTCGCTGGCTCCTGCAGCTTCGCTGCAAAAGTCTTGTTTGGAGGTGTCATCGCGAAAGGCACTTATAGAGATCATTCTGGCAACAAATAAGTCGATGCAATGAATATGAAGGCCGTCAAAAGGCAGTCGCAAGAGGTAACCTAGCGCAGCTGTGCTTGTGCTGCACAGTGCATCCGAAGACGCGATCACGTGATGCCTATTAAGCCTCGCGCGGACGGGCGGGGGTCGTCAGAAGCCCTTCATCACTGCCAACCACATATGTGAAAATGCTGGAATGGATCTGAAACCGATTTTGAATAAAGTGCAGATGCCATATAGCAATATATGTACGTGCATACATTCTCTCCTGCGAGAGTTGTGAGAGGGAAACCACCGCCAAGCAGCCGGACAGTGTTGACCCTAGGTCTGATGTACAGCAAATGTGTTTCGCAAGAAATTATGGATCCCTTTCTTCTTTCAGTGGTGCATGCGAGTGAACGAGCACCTGATACTTACAAGGCTGGAGGCCCTACCTCTGAGAAAAGTCACGGTGAGTGTATGCATTTTGTGTCAATCCTCCTGTAGCTCCAGTGACGCACACGTCCAGGTTATGTTGCATGCCATACCCCCGGGTAACCTGCGTGAAGTCTCTAGGTTCTTGGCCATCCAGAATCCACCTGCAGTGATTGTCATCTCACAGTATCTCGGCATGCTGGTGATGATAGATGCCTGGTGGCCTCCGGTAACACTCGCATCGCCAAAAGCTTCAAGGAACAATACTCTGAAGGACAGGGTTCTATGCAAACCTGAGACAAATATGTACGTCACATTGACACCGTATAATAGCGTGGGAAGTCAGCTGGGTTGCGGACTTAGCGCGCGCGACTCGCTCTTTACCAGACTGCCGCCGCCTGTCGGTGGTTGTACACATGTTTTCTCCCTGCGACGGCTAACGATGAGGTTGCTTCTAGGGCAAGCTATTTACTGGACACTTTTCTCTGTGTCTGCGCATGCACGCACACTTGATGTCAATAGGCAGACGGTCCTGGGCGCGGGAACACAAGGCTCTCTGGACGCGGATGATGGTCTCCTGAAGTCTTTCTCAGTGCTGCCAGACAAGGGCTGGGGTGTGGATGACATTCTGGACGAAGCCGGAGTAAGTACATGCTCTGCTATCGCGAGTGCTTTCGTTGACTATGACGTAGGCAACCGGGGCGGATGTTTGGCGGATCAGCCAGTCTCACGTCGATATTTACTTCCCCACACTACATGACTACATGACTTCTCCGTTTCATGACATTGATCTTCCGCACAACACCTCGCGCGTATCCAGGGCGGCGCTAGTCCCTCCGTCTTCTAGTGGTCGGGACACCGGCCCTTCGTCATGGAACTTGACGTCACTATCGAACTCGACATTCCACTCCGTCTACCATCCTCTGGAAGAAATCGAGGAGTTTGTGGAGGCGATGGCATTTCTGTATCCAGATCTCGTGCAGCTTGTAAACATTGGACATTCGGCGGAGGGGCGCGAGATGGTCGCAATGCGTATCTCGAAGGGATATGGCGGCAGCTTGAAGCAGAAGGCTGGCTTTGTGGTGACGGGTGCCCAGCATGCACGAGAGGTACGTAGACCCAGTGCGAGTGTCAGGGATCTATTATCGGGTATCTTGCTGACTTGTGCGTGATATGGTCACCATAGTGGGTCGCAACATCTACGGCACTGTATCTCACTCATGCACTTGTTGCGGGCGCATCTGAGCCCTACGCCATGTCCTCCCTTCTTGACTACTACGTAAGTTCGCCTCTTCAGTCTTTTCTCCTGCGATCGCCTATGCTGGTGTGTCACACGACCAGCTTGCAACCTGTCATTTTCACCTCACACCAACTATATCTCACGCTGTGCACATCCGCAGGACTTCTATGTCATCCCTGTCCCCAATCCAGATGGATATGTGTACACCTGGGAGCACAATCGACTCTGGTCAGTATCATGCACGCCTTTCAAGCTCGTTATGGATATGCTGCGCCCTTCTTCACCCATCCTTATCGGCGACTGTGGGATCCATCTGCATTAGACAACGCACGATACTTACACTAGATAACCAGGTACAAGAACCGGCAGGTCATTGGCCCACATGAGAAATGCGTTGGGATAGACATGAATAGGTTCGTCCATGCGCCTGTATTTCTGCTTTAATCTGACGTTTGTCACAGGAACTGGGTATGAAATCCTGCTACAAGCACCCTGGATAGTAACGTACTCACGCATCATTACAGGGGCACAAGTGGAAAGCCAAAGCGCGCTTCCCCACCGTCAAGGCCAATAAGCCCTCGACGCCAACGGATCCCTGCACACCGTGGTACCCTGGTCACCGCGCGTTCGAGGCCCCGGAGGTCAACAACATCGCGAACTTTATCACCACGCTGCCTGCGCTCAAGGCGTACATCGACCTCAGGAGCTACGGGCAGATCCGTGCGCGCTTTCGCTTGCCTGACGGTGGTTGTCCATGTGTTCATAGGGGCATGTTGGCCTGTTGACAGTGTCGACACCGTGGGCGTACTCGTGTAAGAAGACGCCAAAAGACGCAGAGGATCAGATTGAGGCGGCACACGGCGCGGCTAGGGCAATCAAACAGGCGCATGGAACGGCGTTCACTGTGAGTATCTGGCCTTCTTCCACTGTTCTACATCCACCCTTCTTTGACATCGAATCTTATATCAGACAGGGACCCTCTGTTCGATGTTGTACAAGTAGTTGCCATCTCGCATTCCGTTCTCGATTCAGTGGTGTTGATTATCTGCATTTGCCTGCAGGGCGCCCGGGAATGTCGTAGACTGGATGTATGCGAAGGCAGGAATCAAGTACGCCTACGCTGTCCATCTTCGCGACACCGGTACTGTGAGTGCATCGGTTTCGACCCTTTCCGCTGACATTCGCAGCTGACACAACGGCTTGCAGTATGGTTTCTCTCTGCCTCCGGAGTGGATCCGGCCAGTCGGTGAGGAATCGGCGAAGATGATCCAGTTCTTAGCGGAATTTATCCATACCATACCCAAATGTGCGTGGGATCATTTGATTATCTGTGCTCCTGCACTGCACGTCGCTTAAACGTGTGTCCAGGAAACTTATTGCTGTCATCCTTGCTCGCTCACCGATTCTTGCTACCTTTATGTGCCTGTTGCATCTATCTGTACCATCGCTGTTGTTGTCTGTTTTTTTTACGGCCGATGATGTCTTGTATTATAATAGCCCTTGTCTGTGCCAGTGTTGAAACGTTGACCTTTGACAATGCTCGCGGAATTTTTGTTATCCGAGGGTGGTCCTGAGAATATCCAACCACCATATGAGCGTGAATGATGTCAAGCGTGCGTATCAGCGCAGATATGCACTCGGTTCCCATGTCCCGTCATCGGGCATTGCCACATTGTCACGCCTTTACAAGTTGCTGGATGCAGTTCAGCATCATCTTTGTGCCGTTCACCACGACGACGTCCGCCCACGTATAAGTATACACTTATCGAAGCCCTTGCGCGGCGAAGTGCTTTGCAATTCAAAGCAGATTGGATAGCCGAGTAACGCCGTACACCATATATGGTTGAGCTCACGCCGTCGGCGGCCCTGGGGGCCGTTTTTGCGATATTCATCGTCTCGAGGATCCTCAAGTATCTAGACGGCTTGAAGGTGAGTCTCTTCATGCTGCGAGCATAGCCGTAGCATGGCAGAATCGGGAATGAAGACACCCGGACTATCCGGATTTGCAAGCCTCGGTCTCCTTTCTGCTTACATTCATCACTCTTTGGACGCGATGTTGACATTCCAAGGCGCATATAACTGGGCTAACACTGGGATGACAGAGGGTGAACCACTGGCCGGGGATCAGATGCCTCTTCATCCCTTTCACCTTGTTTGGCGCGGTCATCCCTACAACATCATGGAATCCCGGAGTAATGTTGACTTGGAAGAAGCGCTTCGAACGTGAGCACACAGGGACGCGAGAGCTGGTGAATGTAACGGGGCCTGAAACTACATTGCAGTATACCAGCAGCATGGCAGGGACACCATCTCGCTCGTCCCTTACCTCGATGGGCGCGCCGAATTCTACACCGCTAATCTGGACGTCATACGACAAGTAGTGGCAGGAGGTGTTAAGTCGGCATGGGTCAAACCCGAGGACGGTGGTACCGTCGTCAAGTATGTATTGATATTATCGCTCCTGATTAAAACAGCACCTCACAACATGCCTGCCAGGGAGTGGGGAATGAACTTGTTCACCACAGAACGTGAAGTTTGGCAACGGCACCGCAGGATCATCGGGCCGGCCTTCAATAACAGCATGTATGCGCACTTTCACTATGTGTGAGACAACTTACATACCGCGTCGCAGGTATGCCCTGGTCTGGGAGAAGGCCATTGGAATATATCAACACATGTCCGACCATGAGGGCTGGTCTGCTACAAACAAACTCAAGCTCAATCCTGTCCAGAAATACACATCGAAGGTACAGTGAACTCTCAGCTTTGCTGCATCTTGCGCTGAGAGCGAATGCACCGTCTCACCTAGTTTGCCTTCCTTGTTGTTGCGATCTGCGGATTTGGGATGGACATTTCATGGCCCGACATGTCAGCGGACAGCGAAGACCCCACCGCATACATGTCTATCCCAGAGGCCCTGCGCGTAAATACGACCCCCAGCATCTCGAAACTTCTTCCAAGGTGGTGTCACAAATTACCCATTCAGTTGTGCGTCTCTTCCGCGCGCTGCCAGCGTATCGTGCTCATAGTGGTCTCGCTGAAGCATGCGCAAACTCACGCTCGCGCAAAACATCCTGGCTAAATACATGCAAGCGCAGGTGGACGAGCGCCGGGAGCAGGTCCAGACGCAGATTGCCATGAACGAGGAGGGAGAGCGCGACATCTTTTCGCTCCTCGTGCGCGCGACGGAAACAAATATAATGTCCACGCAGAACAACAAGCTCACGCTGACTACCTCTGAACTGGTGTGCTAGTGACATTGCGTTTATCGGTGTAAGCGTATAAAACTGAGGGATGTCGCGCAGATTGGAAATGTCTTCTTGCTGCTGTTTGCAGGCCACGAGGTGCGTGACGGCTCACAGAGGATGCATGTCTCGCTGAACTCTTACTCACCCTGTTACAGACGACCGCCCATACACTGGCCGCGACGTTCGCGCTCCTCGCTGCGCATCCAGACATTCAAGAGGAGATCTACGCTCACATCATCGACGTCGTAGGCCCCGATAGAATTCCGGTTTGTCGCAGTTGCAGTGCCATGAATCCCGGCTATGGGTCACCCTGATCAAGGTTATGAATCCGCTAGGTGCTGGAAGACTATCACAAACTCGATAAAGTCTTGTGTGCGTTCTACGAAGCCGCGCGCATGTTTCCGGCCGTATATGTTATGCTCCGCGAGGCAACTGAGGACACGAAGCTCGTCGTCCCGACGTCGTTCGGAGACGAGACGACCACTCTGGCGATCCCGAAGGGCACTCGGGTAAGCTATGCACACGGGGCGATGTCCACCGAGGTACTGACACGCGCCATGATGCAGGTCATCGTGGATACCATAGGATTGCGTACGTGTAACTCGTGTGAATGATCAATGGGGTGTCGTGCTGACATGCGTCTCAGAATACAACCCTAGATACTACCCCGAGCCGGAGAAGTTCATCCCGTCCCGCTGGTATGGCGAGGATAAGGCGGACTCAATCACTGCATTCAGCATTGGTACGTCTTTCTGGCGCATTGGTGTCCACGCGTCATGGTATCTCTCAATGCTTAACGGCGCGTTTTCGCATGATAGGTCCACGCAACTGCATCGGTCGCCGGTTCGCTACCACGGAAGCAGTGGCATTCCTTACGATGTGGTTGCGCGACTGGAAAGTGGAGCCGTTACTCGACGATGGCGAGACTGTGGATCAATGGTGCAAGAGAGTGCTGGACGCGAGATTATTTTTAACTTTGGGTGTTAAGGATGCCCCCATCCAACTCACGCGTAGGAGAGGGGAATAACCAGTCTAGACCCTTCTGTGCGTACCCAGAGCAGGTGGTTTGACTGTGGTGTTCCTGGACGTTGGCTTGGTCCGTAAGTTGCAAGGGACAATGTCTATCATGAGTCAACACAAGGTGAACATTGAACATTGAACATTCGGTCGGGGTCGAACTAGCGACGTTCCTGGAGAGCTCAAAAAGCAAAAGCAAAGGCTCTGGGCCGGGATTGAACCAACGACCTCAAAAGCAATCCTTCGAGCCGGGATCGAACCAGCGACCTCAAGATGGCATCCATTACAGTCTCGCGCTCTTCCAACTGAGCTATCGAAGGATGTTAACATGTTTTAGGCCATATCCATCATGTGGCACAGAATGTGGTATAGAAATGAGCCAAATCCTTTGTGGCAGGAAGTACAATATCTATTTGTTTCTCATGAACCCAGGGGGTGATATGCTAGAAGTATAAGTTCTGCATGAGAGATCCATGCATTAAATGTGGAAACTAGCTGCAAATATTGATAGTAATCTACCAGGGCCCAGAGCAGGGCCTAGTGTGTGTTTCATGTTTGCGATAAACTGCAAATATCGAGTCTCGAGAATATACAAGACGAACTGAGGTGTGTGTGTAGGATACTCATCAGCAGTGGCACATAGCGGAGACCTAGGACTCTGTTGTTCCGGTTGATACAACGGGTGCACGATTCCGTCCATACTTCTCTCTCCACTCTTCGAATCCTTCGAAGCGAACCTCACCACACAGTCGTGCAGTTATGTTTCGCGCCTCATTGATATTCTGCCGGGACTGTCAGTTCGCAGCTACACTTCACCGCCAGCTAGAAGCTCACCTGTAGCAACTGGAACACAGCAACAACACCGCTAGCATAGAACATGAAATCGTAACTCATCACGGACTCGACGTGATTGGGCTTCATCGCTTCCGCGTCCTCGTCAACAGTGTGCAGATATGGGCCCTCCGAGTGGTAGAAGACGCGGTCGACTAGATTCTGTTTTTGTGCCTGATGCAAGGGTTCTGCCGTGCGTAATGATTGTGAGATGTGAAGAAACATCGATACCACTTCGCTGATCTGAACAACATTATTAGAAATAGTTTATTGGTGAAGGAACATTACTTACGAAGTTAGGATTGACCACCCTGGTGTGACGAAGCAACCTCACTTTCGTGCCATGATCCAGTTGAACGAGGGAGCCAGCCAGCTTACGCAAATGTCAACTTCGAAGTTGATACATGCTAGCACGACTCACCATGGCGAGATTGGCCGTCATCTCAGTCTCGACTTCGACCAGCTTGTTGTACTCCTTGGACGGCCACGCCCCACGGATGTTGCCTTCAAATCTCGCGATGGCGGCCTGCATTTTAAGAGCTTGGAGCTGCTGCGCTACGGCGATGATTTTCTCGCGGAAATCCTGCACCCATTCTGTCCCCCGAGGCATACCCTCCTTCCCGTCCTCAGTAGGTACGACCTCGTCGATCCATGCGGCCATGAGGTGAGAGTATAGATGCGAGAGAGAAGACATGATGGACGCGCAACGCAGCCGGACTGACTTGCGCGCAGATGTCGGTGGCAGGATCATCATGATGAACGACGCAGCACAACCTATGCACCATCAAAGGTCAGGGGGTTTGAGTTATGGTTCAGGAAAAGAGGCGTACCGATCATAACGAGAACCCATCGTCGCCATGCTACGGGCCAACCAATGCCCACATCTCCCAGTACGTGGATATGCCCATCAAGCCAGGAGTAACCCACGATCAGCGTCCATGTAGCCTGCAATGGCGATCAGCGCTTGCACAAGTTGCCGCCTTCGACTTAGAACTCACGCAAACCATCAACACACCAGGCAGGTACTGCACCGGCGCGAAAACCCGGCAGAAGACAAGCGGTATCAAGAAGACACCAGCACTTGCTGCCATACCATACGGACTACCTCTGCTCTTTGCCGACCCTAAACCCTTGTCAAGACTCGGCATTCGTTTCTGCACATGGGATTCACCTACCGATATACCAGCATAGGAGGCCAGAGATTAACCCAATGAATGTGCCGATAAGCCGAAGCATGTAACTGCACAAAGACATGTAAATGAAGAAAGTGGTGCTCCAGAATTCGCACGCACTTCCAGATCTGGTCTGCAGCATATATGTTGAGAGTAGTCTGAGCCATGATCAACGCCCTGTGAATCGTGAATGTCAGTTCTTGGTAAGCACAGAAGAAGCTCATGTTGTACCAAAGACCTTTTTGCGCGTACACGAAGTCTACACAGGCAACACGTCAATAAACATTATCTCAGTTCAGGCAGAACGAAGTGGCAACTTACTTGCACTGGTTTTCACTACGGACGGGATCCACAGCGCGATGGTTACAGCCGTGTACTTAAACGCGAACTGGCGTATGTCGGGTAAGCTCAAAGCCGCATCGCCATAGGCACGTGAATACAGACCATCGCTTCTGGCGTTTTCGTCCACAGATACACAACATGCAACTTATTCGCAAGCTTCTGTACAATGTTGCTCGGGGGCATCGCATCCGGGTCCGTTTCTATGGTCGATACGCTGGTAAGCCTGTTTGCTGATCACTCAAAGTAGGGAAGGCTTACTATATGGATTCTCGTCTTTCTCCGACTTCTCCTGTGACGACACAGGGTCCTCGCCCGTCCCGCCTTCCGAGTCTGTGCCCCGTTGCATGAGCACCTTTCCGATCATTCTGAGCCCTTTCGGCGCCCAAAGCCGGTTCCGCCGCCGCTTGTGCGCCGTCGTCGAAACGTACTCCCCCAGAGCCTTGATCGCCTGCCCCGCGATCACCATATTCGCCGCAAAAACATACATGATGCAGAGCGATCGCAGCGGCGGCTCGCCTTTCCCGTCGCCCGGCGCGCGCGCGCGTTCTGCCTCCAAGATGTCGCGGAAGGGTTCCAGCAACGCAAGCCGATCACTGTCTTTGAACGCCGTGAGCGCCGAACTCAACTGCTCTATCGTGGTGTCCAGCTCGGCCGCACGGGAATCGAGCTCCGCGCTACTGCCACGCGCATACCGCTTCGTGTTGACAACGTCGATGACAGAAATACATGCGGCAAGCGCACTTGCGCACGCGGCGCGTAGTCGACGCGTCGCGTCTCGTAGGATAGGTACCAGGTCCGCGGGGGGGATGTCCATGGAGTGGGCATGGTGCCGAGAGCGCAACTGGCGGAGGAGCTCCGTATCACTGACACCGCTAGATCCTGTAGTGTACGACGCGTCCTGGGTGGGCGCCTCGGACCCTGAGGCTCGCGACGGGCTGGATGAGGTGTCTAGAGTTGTCCCCAGCAGCTTAACAAAGCTCTGGACGGCCGCTGTATATATATGGTTATGAGTATGCCTTAATATACAGGCGAAAACATACCAAGTCTGGGGATGACTGTGCTTATATGTTTATCAAGACCCTTGACATCATCGCCGTTCCAGCGACCCCAGTTGAATTCTAGATTCAGCATGGGTAGCTGTGACTTTACTATATGAATACAGCCTTATTGTCAGCACGGCATCACACATGCGAACGCAAAGTCTTACATCCTTGTAGGCCGGCGACAATGGCGACACGCGTACCAGTGACGCGCGTCAACACCGGTCCATCACCGACAAGGTCAGAGATGGGCGCGTTCAATACGTCCTCTTGCATGTCAATCAGTGACTTCACCTTGCTTAAGAGGCCCGAGGTGGATGTGAGCACAGCATGATTAAGAGATTCGGGGAAGATAAATATGATCACAACGACACCAATGGCGATGTAGCAGGCAAGGGACGTCAGAAGTGAGTTCATAAGTGTGTACTCCGCGAAAGGGAAAAGAGGGCCATAGCTCTAAATGCCCAAATATCGGTTGTTTTGACAAGCGGAGGTAAAGTAACGGAACGTACGCAGAAGATATCGATGGCAATAGTTGCGAAAACGCTGGTGATAATTAGTCGCGGCGCATACGCACGTATGAGCGCGAAGAAGAAGACGCCGACACCCAGGAATGCGCCAAATATTGCCGATGAACTGCATGACCATCTTAGTACATGACATGATGCAGATATTACACACGAAACGTACCGAGTATCTAAAAACACTCCCTCGAATATGCTCGCTTGAAAGAGAGCATCGGGATTTGCAAGTCCTGCGGTGCTACAAGGAGGTTCGAAACATGTCAAATCAGAGCCATGAAACCACGTACCTTTGGGCTTCCTTCTGAAGTGCTGCACGAAGCAACGTCTGGCTACGAGCAGCTAGTGCGGCATGCATAGCTGCAGCACCGAATGCCCATCCGAGGCAGACACCAAGCACGATCGTAAACAGCGCCTTGTAAATTCAGATAAGGTCAGTCAGCCTCCCGACTTGCAAGAACAAGGAACACTATAAACAGGAAGCTCGCTATTATCCTGTCTCATGATGACAGAGAAGCCGGGTAACGCTCTGGGAGGCTGGTCCTGACTATGAGCCTGGAACATAGAAACAAGGACGACAGCTCTCTTCGCGAGGGCTAGCTCCCTGTGATTCTAGTAGAGTGCTGGCAGTTGGGCACAGCGCATATAACGGACATAGTGATTTCAGGTAGAAAGACTCACAAATAGGAATATCTGTAGGGGCATGTTAGGGGGCACGAACATACTGCCCAGAAGGGCGAAGAACGCGCTGCACGATGAATGTTCAGATTCATCCCATGCAACAAAAGGCACATACACGCACGCATTTCCCAAGGTCCTAACCGACTTTTCGGGCAGGAGCACGACGAACGCAATCCAGGACGCCAACCAGCACCTCGCGAGCATCTTCCATGACTTCTTGGCGCGAAGGTTGGCCGAAATCCACAGCGGTAGTCGATCTATGAAGGACAAGAGTCTCGAGGATGTTGTGCTGCCATTTCGCTGCTCTGTAGTCGACTTGGAGGGCCTCGGAGAGCTGCTTGAGGACGCCGAGGAGGTCATGGGGGTTCCGAGTAGAAGAGCGGCTGCCGGTCAAGACTGCGATGGCATATGGGACTTCGCCGGCGCTTGGCGGGTGCATCAGATGCTGCCCTCCCGCATTGGATAATCGGTATGAATTGCATGTTGGCCAAGCCAAGTTGGTAGCACCGTGCGCTGCGTTTGAAATCGAGGAGCGATCTCGGGGCGAGGTGAAGGGCGAGTGTCATATTGTCTGACTCACGGGGCCGTCGACGTCAAACGCACATAGGCGCGCATTCGGCTCTTCCTGAACATTGATGCTATATGCGCGCCATTAGGACACTATTCAGCAAAGAAACAGAGTGGACATGAAACGGATGCGAACTTGAATTTGTAGACACCATTGTTCCTATCACCCTTTGATCCCGTATGTTAGATCAGTCGGAGTACGCTGGTCCCCAGCGTGCTGGTACCGATGTAACATACGAGAGGACCGCGAAAAGGCTGGAAGTCTTGATGAACGGTGTACAGGAATATAAAGAAAGGCAGAAAGTTAAGTGGAAAGAAGGTGAAAGTACAGATTCGTCGGCCTTTCGAGCTTTATATATGCACAACGGCTCACGGGTGACGATCGATGACATCACAACAGTGACGGGCATTGAAGTCGGTCATGGCCGCATCGGGTAGATCCCTTGCCGGAAAGGGAAACGAGGCTGCGTCGACAACTCCGCATGGGCTTTCAGTGAAGCATGCGCGTACTAAATGGAGAGATCCCAGCGTACTTGTTGTGTTTACGAGAGAGCGTGCGAGAATTAACAAACTTATAGGATCGGCGGACAGTGCCGAAGAGGGTTCCCACATATACTTAGGATATGGCGATACTGTAGGCTTAGTCCCCACCCTATTATGACAGTCTTTCCCCATCGACAAGGTCTTAGTAACTCATGGACTGCCCACGGAAGACTAAGCATTCATGTATTACTTATGTCATCAAGCCTCTTCCCTAAACAGTCTCTTCTGCGGAAGATCGCCACCAATTCTATCCAGTCCCTCAGAGTCTGCATGCCAAATGCCACACGACTACCACTTCAGGGGAACCACACAAGTCGACACAGTCACGACAAGACGCTGGAAAACAAATGCATTAGACACCAACTTGTCCATGTCCCGCTGTTCTTTCTTGTTTCCTGGGCTGCGTGCTTTACTTATGAGCATGGCATGGCTACTGAGATGCCATTTCCACCCTTCCGGATCTGCAACTGCTATCAGGACCCCGCTATCCTGCGTAGCGAGAGTTTTGGTATGTCCATCGATGTCTTTGGTGTCGAGCGTGGTAGAACAGCCTGCACAGGAGTTGTGCACTGAACTTATCAACCAGAGAATATGTAACCGTGAACGTCTAAATGCCTCCTGAAATATGCATCGTGGGGGGACGTCGCCATGCTGCTTTCCGAAGGCGAGCGAGGCGTTTCAGGACGTACGCATTCCCCGCCGCCGCTGCGTTCAAGCAGTACTTTGAGGGTGTTCGAGTGGAAGCCCGACTATGCTTTTCTCAAGACATTGTCGAGGAAAAAGATGGAGAGCAAGGGCTGATAATAGAATTGGAAGTTCGACTGGCCTGATAGGTCGACAGCAGAGGGCACTTTTGTTCCGGAGGAATACAAGGCTGAGTATCACTTTGTAGAAGACGACAAGCGGGATATTCAGTAACGCTGTCTATTCTGGACAGCTTCCCAAGGGCGCGGCAGGATCGTCTTTGTCGTGACAGCGGCGGCATGCGTGGACGATGTGCGAATGCCACCGTGGAGTGTGGCTTAGATCAGACTATTTCCGCTACCTCTGGAACGTGCCAATAACCTGTTTGCACGTACAAGGTTGGAAGACGCAGCTAACTGAATATGCGGTGAAAAGCAGAGTGAAAAGCAGAGTGAAAAGCAGATTGGCAAGTTTCTGCTGCTTTCTTGTGCCCTGAAAGCAGCCTAGAATCAGGTCACCTCGCGAGTCAAGGACATACAGTGCGACCGTTAAATAAATTGTATCGCACTAGCGATTAGTCCGCAATCCTGTCATATACTTTCTGAAGCGTATATCTGAATGCTCCAACGCCAAGACATATGCGAAGATTCTCAGGCCCCAGCATGAAACACTGAATTTTCCGTCCGCTCTATGACCGTCGTCAGACCATGTAGAAGTGTTATAGATCTAAGAGATGGGTAAATTACCGGTGGACTCATTCTTCGTAGACAGCTTCGGTGTCTATACTGTGTGGGGAGCTCCCAAGACTATTAAGCTCGTCCTCTTGAGCATCAAGATGTCGAAAACGGAGCCAGAAGGCAACGCCCGTTACAGCAGAGAGAGCGCACAAAATGCCGTAATTCCAGACCAAAAGCGGGTCTGCAGAGAGTGCTGCAGGGCGGCGTGTGTCCAACATCAGCATATGTACGCTATGTTGGACGTTCCTGACTTACAGACGAAAGCCTCAGTAATCGCGCTGGCAATTGCGGACATGAACAAGAAGATCGCCATGACCAGCGAGCGCATATTCTTCGGAGCCTTCGTGTACGCGTACTCCAATCCTGTAATATTGGTGAAGATCTCTGAGACTGCGACGAGGATGTAGCCTCCAGACTGGATCCACACGTTAAGGTCTGAGGTGACGGGGTGTCCGTCGGCGTTCTTGCACGTCGAGACAAAGTAGCCGCACGGGTTGCTGTGGTAGATCTGGTATTGCACGACCGCCGTCCACGCCATAGCAGCCGATGCGAAGAGAAAGCCGAGGGCGATCCGCTTCAGTGGCGTAAACCTGATCCCAGCGCGCTGCAGAGATGGATATATGTACAAGTCGAAGACAGGAATAAGTAGGATAAGGGAGAGCGGGTCAAGATTGGACAGGATGTCATTAGGCACGCCGTACGTCGACATGGTTGCGGCTTGAGATGTCAGGTTGGTGTTGAGCTGATTCATGACGAGATCTACGTATCAAACATGAGATTAGATCGCTGTTGGAAAAAGAGAGAGAAGAAGACTTGCAGAACACAGGGTACCAGAGGAACACCTCGCAGGCCTTTAGCCCACGCTTGAGCTCATCTACACCTTGCTCATCGAACGTCATCCACGCCGGTCGGCGAGGGCTAGGTAGGTTACTCGGTTTCGCTCCATCCCACATGTCGAGTGCAGTCATGTTGCGGAAGGTGGTATATGGGTTGAGGGACCATCTTCCTTGCATGAGGAAGCTCCACGTCCGCAGTACTAAGCCGAACACAGAGCCTGAAGGGGGTGACTTGACATAGCGGTTTCGACCGAGATACAGAACCACAGGACAGAGCAGGAAAATTACAGTGGGAAGAAGGTATGCTAACCAGAAACCAACATACTGAGGAGAACGGATGAACAGTATGCGTGAAGATAACATGTGTATATACTCACCTTCTCTGCGTATGTCATGCAAACCTGACCGACTAGGGCACCAACGTTTATAAATAAATAAAAATACTGTATGCTGCGGTGAATACGTGTATGCTAACGGAGGGAGACGACGAACCATATAGATTCTAGCAGTAGTTAATGCTGGATCCACGATCACCTTTTCGCCATTGGTGGTTGTCCGGGTGAATAACTTAGTTTCGCGGTATTGCTCTGCAACCAGAGGCGAGATGTTCGCTTTGAATCCTCCGGTGCCGACTCCCATTATCACAATGGCAAAAATGAAGTAAATGAGGGACAGGTGCGGGTGTTCTATCACATCAGGCAAGGCAGATACGACAAGAATGGCATGTCCAAGCAGCGCGATCACGACAGCCACACAGATAGTCTTGAATCGTCCCCAGTAGGCGTCAGCGACATAGGCTCCGAACAAGGGCACTATGTAAACCCTATAATGGTTTAGGGCGAGGAGGGAGCTGCGGACAAGCCTTGCTTACCAGAACGCGTTGAAGGTTCCGATAGCGGTGGACGCGCGCTGACCCATACCAAGCGCCCCAGACTGGCCATTAGTGTACCCAGCCCCCGTACGCGAGTTCGGTGGGAGGGGTTGTTGAATGAAGTTGGTCTTGTGCGCATTGGCTAAATGGTAAACATACGGAGAGAAAGCTCGACTCACAAAGACAACGGTTGTCCCGTAATAGGAGAATCGTTCCGCTAGTTCGATAAACGCAATGACTGCATAGTTTCTCTTACCGGTGAACGACATGCGACAATGCACTGGACTACGCACGATAAGCATTCCACGGTATAGCATCTGCCACGCGTCTCAGAGTGTCTCGTTCTTCAGGAGTAGGCAGTTCCGAATTATTGTCTGTGTTGTCTGTTCCACTAAGTTCAATGTATGCATAGTCTGGAGAAGATGGCCTGTGCTTGCGGGCCGAGATGGATCGAAGCAAGCCAGATATAGTCGCCAGGAGATCCTGCAGGTTGGGCCAACTCTTCGACAGCCCGTTGTTCATGGTACTCAGGAGGCTATGACAGCAGCTGGGACGAATTCATGGTTCAGATAAGCAATACGGTTGGGGCACCGTCTCGTAAATGTCGACCTTCGCTGTCAACAGAAACGCCTTCAACATGGGAACGACGGAGCGGTGCAGTGCAGGGTCCATTGATTATGTTTTTACATTATTTAAGCCCCTTCCAAGATAACCATATATGGGGAGTAACTAGTCATATATAGTAATGCAACCGTTTTTGACTGTGAAATGGACATGTCTATGCCGTGTTATCTGTTGAAACATGCTGCTATAACTTTGCTATAGCCTGAAGGTATTCCATCGTCCTCTCTCTGGTCAAAGATTTCCGCTCCGACTCTGGGTATTATAACATTACCACCATGCTCTTGCAACATGCAGCTCCTCGAAAAAGCGTCAGCTCTTGTCTAGTCTCCAGCGTTGCACGGAAACGACAGGTGCCACACCGAGGATTTACCTGCGGTGGATCGGTACCACTGGCCTCGACGGTGCTTCCAGACGCATCGCCGGATTTATTCCTCAAATTTGTGTCTTCGGCGCAGTCTATTCCTCTACGTTTCACGAGGACTGGTAACGATGCTGCCAGGGAGCCTGTGCGCGCGCGCGAACTTGTGAGTGCTCTGCGAAAGGGCGAAGACAGGCTCGTCGACATAGAGCTTGGTCGTTACGATAACACTGCCCCGGGCGCGTTTGAGCGCGTTCCTATGCGCCTTGGCCAGTATCTGGACTGGCTAGAAGACGACACACGCAGTGGCGGCACAATTGGGGGCCAGCAGCTGTATCTCGCTCAGTGGCGAGGGAAGGACGAGGTAGGAAAGCCAGATATCGACGAGGGAGCAAACAGTTGAAGGGCGGGGTCGTATGCGTCAGATACTCGAGATTGCAGATGTAGTGAGGCCGCCGTCGCTCCTTAGCCCTCTGCTCTCGAGCGGCGCAGTCGATCTCTACCAGAGCAGTTTCTTCGTCGGCCCCAACAATGCTGTGTGTCTTGCCGTTCTCCGCTGTGTGCATGGTGCTTACTGATAAAACAGGTCACCTCGCTTCATTATGATCCATACGAAAATCTATATCACCTACATGCATCCTCAGCTCCGATCGTCTACGCGAAACATTTTGTCTTGCTGCCTCCATCAGTCTCCCATGCTATCAGACGCGGCGACACACAAAGCTCCTTACGCAATACCTCTCCTATTGAGCTTTCTCTCAAACGCAAGCCGTATGAAGACTCGATCACGGACTCTCCGGGTGCAAGAACTCAAATATTTGACGTCTTAGTAGATGCTTCCGCACCCGCCCGATCCGCGGAGGCAATCTCGCAACATGCGCTCACCTGCGTTCTTGTCGAGGGCGAGACGCTCTTTATCCCACGAGGCTGGTGGCATCGAGTAGAGAATGTTGCTTTGCCTAATGGAGGCCGCGATCTATCGAAGACCGCACAGTGGACTGCTGGCGTCGGGTGGTGGTTTTTGTGCCGCAAGTCGTGATAGTATTCATATTCCATCAATCTAACTGGGACCCTGCTTATTCCGTCACTCTGTTCATACGCATGGTCTGATTGTTGTTTCGACACACGTGGATGCGTCAGGTCTTGGGGTTTGGATCACTGCTTCACTGCTTGTGGCGTCAATGAATCTGCGACTGATCTACTTGCTTGTCGCGAACCTATTGAGTACTGAATATCGGATGGCCCGTTCTGGTGGTCGAAGGCGGGTCGTCGTTGTAGCATGTCGTAATTAAACTGCAGATCTTCAGCATGGCAATGCTAGCACTACTGTGTATATATGTTGTCCGTGGTGGGTCCGTGTGCCCAACTCCACGCTGTAGCAGGTAGCTGATATATGATTCTTCGCACCTGCTGATATCGCAATTGGCTCTGTTCATGGTACCTCGAACATGCCATAGGGCCACCGACGAGAGGGGTGGATTGCACGAAGATGTGACTGCCTTTGCTTCATGGCCTGCGCGCGCTTGCAATCGGACGTCATCTGCTGTTATTCCCTACTTTCAATATCGTCGTCATTCTCGATTTCGTTATGTCCTGTTTCATGTTTCACCATCATTCACGCTTGTTTGAAGGGACCGCATCAGTGACCCACTCCTTTCTTCCGAGTCCTTCCGCTCCATATGGACACCAACGTCGTACGCACGACCCAATATTCAAGCGCCACCGCACAGGTCAGGGGTACATGCTGAGTGTGTCGTTTTGGGGACACTCTGCGTACGCCCCGAGGCATAACTGACGTCTCACTTGTGTGAGTTCTGAATCTGCGGTGGTGAACGACGTGTGATGGTAACTGATCACGTGCAGGTGGTGAATTGATGCGGAGATCGAAAGTGTGGGCGTCCAGCATCCGCGGTGCCATCCGCCGTGACGTCCATTGCAGGCAGGTGTAGCGCACCCTGCCTATACCCTCTCGTGCTCCCCATCCCCTGTGTCCCACGACAGCCCGAAACAGGGCCTCTAGTGCATTCATCTCATTACGAGCTAGCCATCAATCTCACCGCGGGACACTAGTCGCGAATCGAGGGCCCTCTCAGTCACTGCACCGCTCGCGCTCGTGCCGTACACGACTATCACAGCCCTCACGTCTTTAAGACCGCCCAGATGTCTTCTCGTTCGCGCCACTCAGCTCTCTAAACATTCTCTTCTCCCTGCCATGTCCAGTAATGAGACCCAGAAAGTCGACCAGATAGCACACCGCCTCTATACGAAGCTCACTATAGTGGTCAACCACGCCAGAGCAACTATCGAGGCGCCTTCGCTCGCCAGGGTCGACAAATGGGTATGTTAGCCATGTACAAGGTATCGAAGCGCACTGATCGCCTGTAGTTCAATCTGGAAACAGACTCTGACCTCTTCAAGGAGCATACCCGTATCTACCGGTCCATTTCGTCCACTGCGGACCCGATCCCACCCTTTCAGCTTCAGGTGGTACTAGTCGTACCCGAGCTGGCGGCGAACCAGGTGCTCGTATACATTGCGCCAGATTCGTCGAAGACCTGTCTCGCCTCCTCATGCAAGTACATCCTGCTCGAGTCGTGGGACCTCGTCTTCTCGCGTGATCTCGACTGGCAACGAAGTGGAGAGGATCGCCCTGATGCCTCGACAGCTACTATGTACAAGCACATCATTACGCTGTTCCGCAGCTCGGTAACGCTGCTTCGTATCTTGCCTGCGTGGAAGCTGGCTCGGCGGCTGCGGAGACGCCCTAGAGGGAACGGGGCCAACTTCACCATCGAGCTGCACGCTGGGGATGTGGAGGGGGGACGGACCTTGGGATTTGGTACGTCCTTTGAATGTTGACATTTGAGGCCGCTCTTACAGATCAGCAGATACCCCACCGGCACGAGATGCCTTAATGCTGAAGAAGGATACGCGTACATTCCCGGCCATCTTGCATCCACAGGGTGCTCTCAAGCTCTCTGTTACTTACCTCACGACGCCTAATTTCGATCTGGTCGAGCGCGAGTCATTACTCTCGTCACAGTTCTTCCATGAGGGCGTGGACTTCACGCCAACTCTAGTCAGGCACAGTCAGCGCGAGTCAATTTCAAGCTCTCCGGGTAGGCTGGCCCAACAGACTGCGCTCCCGAGCTCACATCAATCCTCTGTCGCCGACCAGTTCATCTTGCCACCTCCGATATCGTCACGGACGGCGTCCTTCCCGATTACTGGTGGAGGTAGCCCCCGCATGCAAACCATGGCATTGCCCTCTGTGCGACGTCTATCGAATGCTGGCATGGGTTTAGGCGGTGCGGGATCCCTGTCTGGGTTGTCGGAAGGTTCATCGCGTCAGGGGGGCGCCTCTATCGTCTCGCGGGATGAGGGCCCGTCGGTATCTGCACTGGCAGCACGATTGCGGCGCGAGAGTACGGGTGCAGGTCGGGGCATGGCGAGCGCGACGTCATTGCAGCAAGAGCTCTCGTCGTCCCCTGGTCCCGTGCCCATCCGTCGCGGGCCTATCACTCCGGTATATCCGTTCAAGTCTTCGACATTGTCTTCTGGATCGCCCTCGCCCTCGGTCCGGCAGCATTCGCCGCTTGGCTCGCTTCCTAGTGCCGGGCCATCATTACCTTCTCGTCCGATTCACTCTCCCACATCGTCTCGCGTTGGAGTGAATGTCCCACTAATGAGTAGCCGTGCGCCGTCATCGCCGGCCACCCCCTTTCGACCGTCGCCTCCACTTGCGCCATCAAGCTTTGGAGAAAGGAGGTCGTTGGGTAGTGCAGAGGGTATCGCGGAGAGCCCGAGGATGGGCGGAGCGAAGCGATATTCGAGTAGTTTTGGCTATCGATATGCCGCGACGGGAGGTGTAGGCAGTGAGGGGAGTGCGGGAAGCGCTGGTAGAGAGGGCGAACGGGCAGCGGTACGCTCGTTCTGTTTATCCATTGGCACTTGTTTGCTCACTGTGTCAGCAGGGTGCGTCGTTCTTGAGCAACAATACGGATGATGACGACATATCAGCATTTGTTCAAGCTATTGACGCTCGGAGACCATTGGCTGGGTTGCGGGAGCAGAGCACGCCGCCGCCCGACGAGCCGCTCGACGGCAGGCCAAATTCTGCGAACGTGTCCCGTCCCTCCAGCGAGCTCGCGCGGGCACGGACAATGTCAATGCCGGGGCCGATGCTGGCGACGGAGTCTGCAGTCGATGAGCGCCTGCGGGAGATGTCAGAAGCATTCAAGTCAACGTTACGCGGCCTTGGCGGGCGCCGACGGCGCGCCGTTGTGGGTGCGAATGTTCCGCAGGACGAGCCGGCCCAGGAATGCGTTCATACTCCCGTGGACGAGGGTATCGCTCTGCCTGCGACGTACGTACGGCCAAGGTACGGCTCGATGGGGAGCGTGCGCTCCGGGTTCAGCATCGCGTCCGGGGAGGTCATCGGGAGGATGGATCCTGAAGTGGGGGGAGACCCAGGAAGGAGCGCGCGGTAGCGGGCCGACGAGGAATTAAGAGTATGTCATGCGAGGCAGTGGTGAGATGTGGTCTATGTGGATGCCGCACGGGTTCGGCTTACATGTGTGGTGATGATATGGGGTCTGGTCGGTGTAATCTTGCCTATGGTTGACCTTGCTTGAACCAGTTGTTATCGGTATATATTCTGCATCTCCTGTCGCCTGCCGTCTATGCTAATTAACAAGCGACAGGCAACGTGCGACGGAGCTGTTTGGTTTAGTTCCATTGTATATTGCATGCGCAAGCGACATTTATCATGTAAGTTAGCAAGTGTATATTTAGACTGCAGTGTACATTCGTATCAGCCATCACGGACTTCTTGATCTGTTCTCATGCACTCGTTTTGGTATGCCACTCCCGCCCGCGTGTGAAGTTCGCTTCGCAAAGACCAACTCAAGTTTGACTTTAAGAACCTTTGGGTTCGTCAGCCATTTGCGTTGAATTCAACAGCCATGGCCCAGTGCAGAGGGTTGACGACCAAGCATTGCTACATGACGATGGCGGCCGAGCTCCCGCGCATCTGGAGGGCCCGTGCCTATGCCCCTTGTGATGCAAGAAGGATCTCTTCGAGGCACATGGGCTAATACCTGTAGTTAGTCTACTCTGTCAATACCGAGTAGTTTCGTCCGTTTCAACATATATGTCGTAAAAAAGAAATACCGTAGGCCCTGGTGCGCTCTCAACGATGAAAGCCGAAGGCGCTCATATGAACTTAGGAAAAGAGGGAACGGCCAATGATATTGCTCATAGCGGCCAGAGACTCGGATGAACGCGACGTGTCACAAGCATATGTGCGTGACGTCACGCGCTGAAGCCATGCCGGGACTCATCGTACTCGACGCTGCGACTCGCGAGGAAGAGCAGACCGAACGTGAGGAAGGCAGCATACGTTGTGCCTGCGCTTTTGCAGAGCTTCGCTGGCGTCAGGGCATAGGCAAGTTGCTGGGCGAGTTCGAGAGCGCATTGCATGGTCATGTCATCGCTACAGATGCCATAAATGTGTGCCATTCAGGCTGCACAGGTCGGAAACCCCAGGCCCCCTCTTTAATCGCAGCGATGTAGTGTCCCAGAAGACTCTATAATGAACGGATGAACCGACTCAAAGGGCTCAAATTGGGTAGTCCTAACTTGTGGTACTCTGAGTTGTTGGGCCTATGCTAAACGAACCAGGACTGTTGCCGTACTCGGAGCCTTGGACAGACATAGGAGTGTAGATGTGTAGGCACAACGTCTGTATTCGCGGTAGAGCGAGAGCGTATATGATTATGGCACGGCTCCAAGCATGAATATCTCTTCCCCATAGGCTTCGGCTTGAGACGCTATGACGCCTGTTGGTTTCCTGGTTTGCTTCTTTTTTGATAAAAAAACGATACTGAAGGTAAAGATATTGGACTCACCACCGCGGTCACTACTATACTTTCCACGCTAGGGTAACAATTTGTGCGTAAGTTGGCATGGATGGTCGACGTTCGACGAGAAGTGCTTTTTTCATTTTTATTATTATTATTTTTTATATCCAGTTTTGTATCCGCTTGAGGGCGTTGCCCTATGCCGGATAATACATGTGTGTGCTATGCGATTAGAAGTAAACAGGGTCATTGGCTGTCCGGTAGCATGGGGAAGAGTGAGCGCGAGCGAGCTATCGTGCGCGTGCAGGGGCGGAGGGTAGAGGGTCAGTTGGGCCGCGTCGTATGGAAGGGGCCGGGTGAGGGCGTAATCGAGTGCTTGAGCGCAGAATGGGACGAGAGTAGATAGGTTTAGGTAGAAGATTATGTGTTGTACAGTAGGGATGATTCGTGAGGGGTGAATACTATGTATGAGAAGGGTGAAGATTACGAGAGAAAATCAAAGAGAGATGAGAGAAGGAAGAGAGGAAGAAATGGGGGAAAGGGGGTGCTGTGTGGAAACATAGCCGTCGAGTGGTGTTCGCGCCTGACGAGAAGTGCTTGAGAAACGGTGATCAAATGATATGTACGCTAGAATTGACTGCTAGTGCTGTCCACGTTACAGTAGTCAAGGCCACTACTTGGAGAAGAGAATCAAAGAGAGACGATGTTCACGTCCGACAAAAGCACAGAATTTGCCCGATCAATCTATGATCACAACTATTAACCGGACCGGCGCTCTGGCGTTGAACCATGCGCGTACGTTTGTTTATTGTCGTACTACAATAGTACTTGCTACATGCACGCTTCCAGTTGACGATGCTAGCTGAGCCAGTCGTTGTTCAGGCACAGTCCTTTGTCCTAGCCAGACTCTTGCCTCAGCGTTCAGCATATTGGACATCGTATCACGGATACAACAGGGCAGCACTGGTGCCAAATCGGCCATTTGTGGCGTTGCGCGTTCGCTACACATATTACGAATGCGACAATGTGCGATTATTCTTGGTATCTACAAAGAAGCGTACTAGCGGCTTATATGCTGACTGCGACATGCCTCTGGTTTCGCGGTCAGTCGATGCACACGTCGGACTTGACGGCACGCTTCGCGCAGTGCCCTTCCTGCCAACGTCAACTACATCCTTATATCTTCACACATTCCCCAGCATACAGGTTATGAGAGGCTCCGCAAGCTATAATACTATATCCCAGGACGACGAAGGCGACAAACACAAGCTTGACGAATCGAGTTTCGAAAGATTCTGGTCGAAGGCGTGGAACGAACGGCTGACTTTTAGGAAGAGGGGGTGGGCCTCCAAGACGATGAAGACGCGAAGCTCTGGAGGAGACGAAGTCGTGCAAGACAACTGGGATACATTCAGCAAGGACGTGAATGACATAGAGTACCTACATAACCCTTCCGGCCGATGTATGTTTGAAAGACTGGAATTCCAGGATCTCCCGCTTTCAGAGGAGCCATCGATCTACCGGGAGCTAGCGATATATGACCAGTAAGCAATAGAACTTACGACTTGCGTCGAGTATTAATGGTGCCCTGATAGGCTAGCGGCCGACTTCTCCTGGCGAGGCGTCGATCGGTCAATCGCCTGGGTCGAAGCCATGAGACAGGTATGCGATTCCAGTCAGCGATGCTTCCGCGGTCTTACGCATATTAGCTTGACCATGAAGGATTTCCATCAAGGTTCTCGCTAGCCAGTGCGAGACCGCGCTCAGGAGGATCCCCGTTATTCTCTGCTGCTGTGAAGGAAGATGCAGTAGCATTGCACGCAATGCAAGTCCCCGTTGACGGGGACCCTCCTCCTGCAACTCCTGATGAAGAGGTTGTAGAAGCCGGCTGGGGAGATGACCCAGAGCCTGATTTCTCAATGGCACCGGTGGTTCGTCCACCTGTCGTTGCTGACGAAATCAAGGTCGTAGTCTTTGACCTGTACGGAGTGATCTTGGTAAGCAGTTGAGTCATTCGTGCGGCCACTCGCTCACCTTAGTCGTCATCTCACTGGTGTAGGACCGTCAAGAGGATTTGCGCTGTGCACTGCGCACGTTCCTTCCTCTGGACCCCCACCAGCATACCATAGACGGCTTAACGCGACTATACCTCGAGGCTGAAGCCCATCTCATTCGTGATAGACCTGACGTGCTTGGAGAACAGTTGGTCCATGCTGCGCTCAGGGACATGTTGTGTACTGTCGGCCTGTGTCTTGCAGATGACATAATACGGTGCGCCGTCGATGCTATATGCCCAACTCCTTACGACGATGTATCCGATGCCTTGAGGACGCTGCATGCGCGCGGCCACCACCTTTTGTGTATCACTCCTCGCGATGCATCACACATTAGGTTCTTTTCCTCTCCTGAACTCCGCACACTCTGTGTCTCGGCAGCTCACCTGCATACTCAAACGGAAGATATATGCTCTCAAGTGGTCGAAGAATGCCAGTCAATTCTCCCGGAGATCAAGAACACTGAGATTCTCCTTGTCACAACCGGGCTATACAGGATCGTTGAGCTTGCGAGTGCAGCTGGAATACCGACCGCACTGGTCCAGCGGCCGAGTGTAGACGAAGCTCAACTTGAACGCAAGACGGAGCAAGGCGAACTATCGTCGCCTACGATGACTATTGGAGGACTGGGGGAGCTGTGCGATAAGCTGGAGCTGATGCGCTCAGGGAGTCTTAGTCAGAGTGAGGCGTGATGAGTCCTATTTCTATTGTCATGTTACATTGCTATCGCTTGCTTTTCATTGACAGACCTGACTATATCACCACTCAAATAGCTGTTTGCTAGACTCACTACACGCCCCGCATGGTGGATAGCACTGTGAGCGGGAGTTCATGTCCAGCGCTGTGCACGATAGAGCGTTGGCTGGCCTAGGATACTCGCCCCACTGGAGTACACTTTGTGCGTATGTTATTGATACAACTAGTCGACGGTCGACGAGAAGTGTTCGGGGAACAGTGACCAAACCATGTATGCGCTGGATTGAATGTAGTGCGATCCGTGTTACACTAATCAAGGCTACCATGTAGAAGAGAATGTAGTACTAAAGAGGGACGACGTTCCGAGTCACGTCCGACAAAAGCATAGTGTTTGCCCGATCTATCTATGATTACAACTAACCGGTCTGGCGCTCTGGCGTTGAACCGCATGCGTTCGGTTTTGTTCTTGTCGTGTTGCCAGTATTAGTACTTGCTACATGCACGCGTCAAGTTGACGATGCAAGCTGAGTCGGTTGTTGTCCTCGCGCAGTCCTTTGTTCTTGCAAGACTCTTGACTCAGCGTTCGGCATATTGGACGTCGTGGCACGGATACCACAGGGCAGCCCTTCTATCAGCCCAGCCTTTTGTCGCGTTGCGCGTCCGCTTCACAGAATTCGGATGTGACAATGTGCACTTGTTCGTAGTATCGCCTAAAAAGCGCACTAGCGGCCTATACGCTAACTGCGACCTACCTCTGGTTCTGCAACCAGGCAACGCTCGACTTGACGATGCACTGCATGCGGCGCCCCCTCTACCAACCTGGACACGACAGTTATACCTTCACACATTTCCAGCCTTGAAGACTCAGAGGGGCATCGGAGGCATGCTTCAAGACGAAGAAAGCGACAAATTCAAGCTTGAGGAACCGAGCTTCCAGAGGTTCTGGTCGAAGGCGTGGAGCGAAACAGTGAGGTATAGAGAGAAGGAGTGGGGATTTGAGACGATGAAGCCGCGAAGCTCTGGTGGAGACGAAGCTGTTCAAGACAACTGGGATACATTCAGTAAGGACGTGAATGACGTAGAGCACCTGCACGACCCCTTTGGCCGATGTGTTTTTGAGCGGTTAGAGTTCAAGGATCTCCCGCTGACAGAGGAGCCATCGATCTACCGAGAGCTAGCGATATATGACCAGTATGTGAAAGATCTCACGAGCTTGTGTTGAACGCTGATGATGCCCTACTAGGCTAGCGGCCGACTACTCTTGGCGGGGTGTCAAACGATCAATTTACTGGGTCGAAGCTATGCGAAATGTATGCACTTTCCACTCAGTAATGTTTGCGTGGTCTTACGTATGTCAGTTTGCCAATGAAGGGTCGTTTGTCAAGCACCCGGTGCACCCGGTAGACCATGCGGAACTGTGCTCAGGGGAGCCCCCGTCGTTCTCTGCTGACTTGAAGGAGGATGCAGTAGCATTGCGTGCAATGCAAATCCCCGTTGATGGGGATCCTCCTCCTGCATCCGCAGTTGAAGAAGTCGTAGAAGCCGGCTGGGGAGACGAACCCGAACCGGATTTCTCATCGGCACCTGAGGCTCTCCCGCCTGTAGTCGCAAGCGAAGTTAAAGTCATTGTTTTCGACCTGTACGGAGCGATAATGGTAAGTTGCGAGGCCGTCCACAGGGATACTATCTCATCATTGCTAGGACCGTCAAGAGGCTCTGCGCCGTGCTCTGAGCACGTTTATCCCTTTGGACCCCCACCAGCATACTGTAGACGACCTATCAAGATTATACCTGGATGTCGAAGCCCATCGCATACGCGAAATGCCTGATACCTCTGACGATGATTTGGTGCGTGGGACCCTTAGCGATATCCTGCACATCATCGGTCTTCATCCTGCGGGAGACATGGTGCAGCGTGCCCTCGATGCCATACGCCCAGCTCCCTACGTCGATGTCCCCGACGCCTTGAGGACACTGCAGCAGCGTGGCTATAAGCTGCTGTGTCTTGTTTCTTGCGATGCGTCTCACGTCTCGGAGACTGCGTCCTTTCTGCCTCCTGAAGTCCGCACACTCTGTGTCTCAACAGCTCATCTACATACCCCATCGGAAGGTGTATGCTCCCAAGTGGTCGAAGAATGCCAGTCAATTGTCCCGGAGATCAAGAACACTGAGATTCTCCTTGTCACAACCGGGCTATACAGGATCGTTGAGCTTGCGAGTGCAGCTGGGATACCGACCGCACTGGTCCAGCGGCCGAGTGTAGACGAAGCTCGGCTCGAGCGTGCGACGGGGCAAGATGAACTATCGTCGCCTACGATGACTATTGGAGGACTGGGAGAGCTGTGCGACAAGCTGGCTTTGATGCGCTCGGAGAGTCTTTGTCATAGTGAGGCTTGATGGGTTCTGTTTCCTATGTTATATTGCTGTCGCTGCATTGTTATCACTTGCTTTTCATGGACAGACCTGACTATATCACCGCTCAAATCGCTGTTTGCCAGACTGTTAACGCCCTGCATGGGGAAGAACACTGTGACCTGGGGTTGCATGTCCTGCGCTGTGTGCGACAAAGCGCTAACTGTTCTAAATACTCGCCCCAATGGAGTGCACTTTGTGCACATGTTGTTGATATGACTGATCGACGGTTGACGAGAAGTGTTCGGGGAACGGTGACTCAGCCATCTCTACACTTGCCATCCGTGGTACAGAATCAAGGCCACTATGAGGAAGATAATATAGTATTAAAGAGAGAGGATGTTCCGAGTCACCTCCGACAAAAGCACAGAGTTTGCCCGATGAATCTATGATCGCACCCAGCCGGCCCGGCGCTCTGGCGTTGAATCGTACGCGTTCGTTTTTGTTCATTTTGAACGTTGTGATACAGTGGTACTTACTACATGCACGCGTCTACTTGACGATGCAAGCTGAGTCAGTCGTTGTTCAAGCGCAGTCCTTTGTCCTAGCCAGACTCTTGCCTCAGCGTTCAGCATATTGGACATCGTATCACGGATACAACAGGGCAGCACTGGTGCCAAATCGGCCATTTGTAGCGTTGCGCGTTCGTTACACAAGATACGAATGCGACTTTGTGCAAATGTTCTTGGTATCTACAAGGAAGCGTACTAGCGGCTTATATGCTGACTGCGACATGCCTCTGGCTTCGCGATCAGACGATGCACGCGTCGGACTTGACGGCGCACTGCGCGCGGTGCCCTTCCTGCCAACGTCGACCACATCCTTATATCTTCACACATTCCCCGGCATGCACGCTCGAGATGGCTTCACAGTTGGTAATAGCGTATTCAACGACGACGAAGGTGACAAGCACAAGCTCGACGAATCGAGTTTCGAAAGATTCTGGTCGAAGGCGTGGAACGAAGGGCTAAGGTTTACAGGGAGGGGGTGGGACTCCAAGACGATGAAGCCGCGAAGCTCTGGAGGAGAAGAACCCGTGCAGGACAAGTGGGATACATTCAGCAAGGACGTGAATGACATAGAGTACCTACACAACCCTTCCGGCCGATGTATGTTTGAAAGACTGGAATTCCAGGATCTCCCGCTTTCAGAGGAGCCATCAATCTACCGGGAGCTAGCGATATATGACCAGTAAGCAATAGAGTTTACGAGTTGCATCTAGCACTAATGGTGCCCTGCTAGGTTTGCCACTGATTTCTCATGGCGGGGAGTCGATCGGTCAATCGCCTGGGTCGGAGCCATGAGACAGGTATGCGATTCCAGTCAGCGATGCTTCCGCGGTCTTACGCATACCAGCTTGACAATGAAGGATCTTTATTGAGGTTCTCGCTAGACACTGCGGGACCGTGCTCAGGAGAACCCCCGTTATTCTCTGCTGCTGTGAAGGAAGATGCAGTAGCATTGCACGCAATGCAAGTCCCCGTTGACGGGGACCCTCCTCCTGCAACTCCTGATGAAGAGGTTGTAGAAGCCGGCTGGGGAGATGACCCAGAGCCTGATTTCTCAATGGCACCGGTGGTTCGTCCACCTGTCGTTGCTGACGAAATCAAGGTCGTAGTCTTTGACCTGTACGGAGTGATCTTGGTAAGCAGTTGAGTCATTCGTGCGGCCACTCGCTCACCTTAGTCGTCACCTCACTGGTGTAGGACCGTCAAGAGGGTTTGCGCTGTGCACTGCGCACGTTCCTTCCTCTGGACCTCCACCAGCATACCATAGACGGTCTAATGCGACTATACCTCGAGGCTGAGGCCCATCTCATTCGTGATACCCCCGACCTATTTGGAGAACAGTTGGTCCATGCTGCGCTCAGGGACATGTTGTGTACTGTCGGCCTGTGTCTTGCAGACGACATAATACGGTGCGCCCTCGATGCCATACGCCCAGCTCCCTACGCCGATGTCCCCGATGCCTTGAGGACACTGCAGCAGCGTGGCTATAAGCTGCTGTGTCTTGTTTCTTGCGATGCGTCTCACGTCTCCGACACTGGGACCTTTCTTCCTCCTGAAGTCCGTACGCTCTGCGTTTCTACAGCTGATCTACATACCCAAACGGAAGGTGTATGCTCTCAAGTGGCAGAAGAATGTCGATCAATTGTCCCGGAGATCAAGAACACTGAGATTCTCCTTGTCACAACCGGGCTATACAGGATCGTTGAGCTCGCGAATGCAGCTGGGATACCGACCGCACTGGTCCAGCGGCCAAGCGTAGACGAAGCTCAACTTGAACGCAAGACGGAGCAAGGCGAACTGTCGTCGCCTACGATGACTGTTGGAGGACTGGGAGAGTTGTGCGATAAGCTGGATCTGATGCGCTCAGGGAGTATTGGTTAGAGTGAGGCTTGATGAGCTTTATTTCTTCGTTCAGTTTGCTGTCGTTGCACTGCTATCACTCTGACTATATGACGACTATTAGCGCCCTGCACGGGGGCAACACTGATTCAATTGAGCTTAGGACTGTGTTTTACACAAGTCTAATCGACGAGCAACGTATTGGCATTTCAAGAGGACGAGTGCGCGTTGCTCCTATAGCAATGTCGCGACACTTCCCGCTTGCAGTCGGAGCATTCTGTTCCCGCCCGACGTAGGCCGGACATGTCAACCGCGGGCGCATGGTGTTCACTGGGGATGTCAAGTATGTTGCTGCTTCAGGCCCGAGGGGCACGGGTTGGACCTCCGGCAGCAGACTCGGTCTCACAGTCACTATCACGGACTCTGTACCTCTGTATCTTCACAGGGTAGGTCAGCCCATTGGAAAAGAGCATACGTACCTGCTGCCAGATTGTCGAATTCACGTCGGCGCATTTCTTCCGCTCCATCAACACAACTCACGAAGGAATCGCGAGACGCCTTTGAAGATTACCATTGTGACCATCAAGATAAGTGGGGACCAGTCCATAGGCGGGTAACATAATTCATCGTTAGGCTGTGAAATGAGGGCAAGCACAGATTTCCCCATACAGCGCGCACAGGACATGCCGTACTTCTGGAATGCATCTACATGCTAAGCATACATGGATATGCGTTCCGCAGTCACACAGACGGCCCTTATGCTTGAAGCGGACATGTTGACTCACCGTGGGCCAGTATTAGCCACGAAGTACCGAACCCTTGATTTGGGGCCTCTATGTAGTCCGATCTTTGCGATGCGGAAGAAGCTACTCACATCGATAGGCCCCAATGTAAAACAGCGTGGCGCACACGCCATGCTGTTTTGCATTGGGTCCTATCGATGTGAGTAGCTTCTAACTGAAGCGCAGGGCTAGTAGAGTATACGCCACGACGAAGAAGCGAACAGCTAGGAAGATGCAGCTTACCCCGCAAGACTACGCGCACCTCATCCGGTCTCGGCTCTATACACGATCATAAGGAGCATGTCCTCAAACAAGCCAAAGAGAACACATTTGTCATAGCGCAGTAAAGTTGGGAAGTAGCTTCGCTCATGTCCTCGCCAGTTTCTGCCAGTGGAACACAGATCGAGTCTACCCGCCAACACACGCAACGTGTGTGAGCATCCACATCCATAAATTTGGCCACCTTCGCGTGTCTCAACACCCCGAGCCTGATGCACACGTAGAGAAAATACACACCACTGACAGAAAAGGTCTCATTGCGCCCCATGCGAACATCAGACTCCCGAGCGAGCCCGGGTCAATAGAGGGTTTTCCGACAGTATGGTAGGCTAAGAGATAGATTCCGAGAATCGCTTCCCACGAACCCTGTCTATTGTCCGCATATTGTACGGTGATCGTCTTGACAAAAAAGGGTAACAGGATGTGTACTCGTAACCACAGTGGCCTCCTGCCGAGCGTCCGGCACAAATCAGGCATGATTCAGTAATCAGATTTGAGAACGTGGTGTAGAAGGCCCAGCAGCCTACGATATCCTTTGACCACTCGCCTTTGAGCAGGTTGTCAGCGAAGGGTCTCGTGCTGAGGTTCACGACCGTACATCCCCTGAAGGTCGCGGCAGTTAAATTGCCATTTATGTCGAGATAGAACCTCGTGCCCAATCCAGACTATAGGACAACTCACCGGCATTGGAGAAGCTATCCAAAGGGGCTTTCAGAGCAACGCCGTAGAGACGCCCGCAAGGACGGTAGGAATCGCCCTGTAGTGACAACCGGAATTTTGCTCGGATCGATCCTAGTTATGATGGCAGTGATGGCCTTGCGGTGCTCGGCAATCCCCGAGCACAGCGCCTCAGAGCAAACGTGCACGCCTTTGAAGCGGATGAGCGAAAGGTCTGAAGTCCAACTAGCAGGGAATTGAGTAGGTCCAGGCACTGAGAGTTTTGAGAACGATGCCGGAAAACCCGCCGGCAGAGCACGTCCTCGATGGATAGGGATCGGTGGATGATTAGTTACAAACCGATGAGGCTACTTACCCACGGCGCGAGGCGCCTACATCATATTAATATGTATTTCCCACACCGACTACGTGACTTGAGCCGGGCAGCGAAGCAACCTTTAGATCGACGTGGGACACGCAAACCTTATTCGGGAACGGTCACGTGACTGACGCGCGACGCGGTGGCTGAGTGACCCAATGGCCGTTTTAGACGTGCCCCAGCTCGTGGGACCATGGATTTCAATGTTTTCATAAGGGGAATCAATTAAATGCATATAAATATGTCTCCACAAATATTTGGAGATTTTTAAGGGCCCTAGAAGGGCTTGAATTGAGCCCGGTGCATGTTGTTGAGACTAAGCGCGCTGCATAGCGGCTTGTTCTGCGTGTCCCATACGCGCGTTGACGTCCGGCGATGTGCGCTCTGCCCTGCTCTCCTTGTCGGCGACGTCCTATTTCTCGCTCAGCTTGTCACGGGTTTTCACGCGCTCACGCGCTCATGCGCCTCGGCGAGCTCGTCTGGCCTGATGCTGTGCGTCTGCGTAGCCACCGCAAACTCGCCCTTCGCACCACTGTGCTGTGCGATGGGACCCAGCAGTACAGTTTCCTGCTTCCTGCCCATAAAGCTGACCCCTTTTTCGACTGCAGTCGCATCCTCGTCAGCCAGGACCTCGCGCTGCCGGAGGCGGTCCCCCTCTTTGCTCACTACCTTGGCCTGCGTGACGGCCGGTTCGTGCTTCGTGCGGAGCTGTGGATCCGTGCCGACGGCACCCTCCCGACGCGCTCCTGGTTCCTCTGACGCCTCCAAGCCTTGTTCCCTGACAACGTCGCCGGTCACAGCATGCGCTCCGGCGGTGCTACAGCCCTCGCCGAGCGCGGGACTCCCCCGGACTTGATCCAAGCTGCCGGGCGTTGGTCCTCCGAAGCATTTCGGGGCTACATCCGTCGGCATCCCGTCCTCCTCGCCGCTCTTCTGTTTGCGCGCCACGGTGCGCCCGAGGCATGGCTCTGGCTCATCCTGTCCTCGTCTTGTCGACCCGCCTGTTTCTCGTTCCCCCATCTCTCGTCTCATGGCCTCACTGCTCTTCGGCTTTTCCATCCCCATGGCATCCCCACTCCATGTTTCTCCCTTTCCACTACACATACTCCTAAATTAGGCTTTAGCCGTACTCTTGATACAGAGGTTGCCCTTATACTTAATACATCTTGGTTGCTGGTGTCCGTCGGGCGAAAGCCGGCAGACACCTCGTCCTGCTAAACGTTCTCGCGCGAGACCCAAACGACCAACGCTGATTAGTCGGGTCTAAAGATTGTTTATGCAAGTCTTATCGGCGTGGGCACCCTTCGGAGCAGGACACCACCTGCCGCGTCGGGTGCATGCATCCGCAGATGCACCCTAACACACTCTGCTCGACCCTCACGTCGAAACCCGCCGCGTCGGGGTACGTGCGTCCACAGATACATCCGGACGCTCTCTGCTCGACCCGCGTGCCGAACAGTGAGAGCGTGCAGCACTCAGAGTCAATTGCCTTTCAGGGCGCATCCGCCCTTGGCTGACAGATCAAGTAGAATACGCTTATAACCTGGCGGACTGGCTAGGGGCTGGAGAGTGCACTCTCCCACTCCCCTCCAGTTTCCCGCCAGGTACGTACCATAAATGCTCAGTGGCAACATCGAGTGCTGACTCCAGTTTCCCGCCAGCGTATATTACTCGCGACTACCCACCGTAGTCACGCCCGTGTCCCGTAACAGGAAAGCCTGTCCGACGTACCCAAAGTCAACAGATTAGAGCGCGGTGAATCTGGTTACCTTGATTCCCCGGTTGTAGATTAACCGGTAATTGACCTAGAGTCGAAAACATGGGTGTTAATCTGGGTTATTCTGGGAAAATTCCTCGCCGACAAGTCTATTGAGCTGACTGTTGAATTCCTGCTGGACGTTCTGGCTGGTATTGTGATTTCCCAAAAGTAACGGCAGGAACACGTAGTGTCAGCGAATATTGGGAGCTCAGTCGAAGTTCACGCGGAAGACCTGGACTGGGATACGTGGTAATTGACGGTCAATGTTGTGATTTACCGCTTTAGGCTGTTAATTAACGTTAATTAGCACGTCGACGCTCATGGGTTAATTAGCCGTTAATTACACCTGTCAATCTGGCCGACTGCTAATTTACGGTAAATTAGGAAGCGATTCCGGATTCACCGCGCCCTATAACAGAGCGCCATGTGTCGTGCGTAGACATGCAGGCAACGTGATACCTAGTCTCCCGTAGGCAGACCGTAAATATAACGAAGTTTTTTGTATGGGGACGGCGATCGTTATATATAGGTCTGCTTCAAAACGCGCCCCTCGCACCGTAAGACAGCATATCAGACCTGTTCGCGATTGCCGGTCGATGGCCGCGCGATGCCGGTGCTCGCCGAGAGATCTTACCGCTAGATCGGTTCTCTTGACCTGCAGCGCATACCAGATGTTTAGAGGCTCATCGTCGACAATATTAATCATGTCTGAGCTTCCCTCAGTGCTACCTACCCTCGCTTCCTACTATGCCAGTCCTCACGGTATATCTTATGATGCTCATACAAGTCCGATTCCGTCCCGGCACACAGTCGGTGGATATCCCACTACCTCAGTCGACACTCCACCCTTTGGCTCTGCTTTGCAGCGCAGTCCCTTCCCAGAGACTCCAACACAGCCATGCAAGCGCAGACATGGCGAGAATGTCCTGCCACACGACTCATCCTCGAAAAAGGGGAAATATACCCCTAGGAGAAGTGATGCTGAGAAACTTGAATATATGTTTCATAAGCTGTCCAACAAAGTTAGGTGGACATTCCCTGAATTTTTATATCATACATTATCCTTCCGTCTTTCTCGTCCACGTTCTCATGCCCAGTATATCCAATACTTCTTACGTGGCCGCGACAAATACACGTTTGCTATGATACTTGACTTGGCACTTCATCATCCGGATGGGCGCGTTCAGAAGGATTCTAATGAATCACACTTAATGTATTCTTGGGGTGATAGCCAGAACGTCTACGCCGTCCAACGCTTTGCAGACACCTTCGAGCTGAAAGTCGTGTGGATCATGTGGTAAATGGTTGGCTACAACTTGGCGACATAATGCATAGCCGGCAGGCGAGCTGAACAGAAAGGAGTCTTTAGGATGTGGATATAGCATGACACATACATATCAATATCATATCATAAACAAGTCGGCCGGGTGTCGCATTCTCCAGTAGGCAAGCATTTTGGACGCGTCCTTAGGCGCCGCGACGCGTCGCGACATTCAAGATCTATACGGCGCGTTTCAGAGATCAAAACGCTTATGTAACGCGAAATCGCGTCTTACGGTCTGGACCCCTCAAATTGAGTCAGACTGCGTGATACCGCATGGAAGACGTTGCGCCCACGAGATTACCGACATTTAGACTAGACAGAGGATCGCATCTTCGTTATGGGAGACAAGATGATCAGTGGCATGCGTATAATGTCACAAGGGCGGCGCAGACCAACCTGTCTTTGGTGTGTGCCCGTCGACGACAATGCTAAGAACGGTTTATTGAGCACCCTTCTCGCAATCTACGACGAAAGTGGGTCAGGGGAGACGGCGGCGACGGCGAAACCTACTTCCCGGACTGTTGCCCATGACGAACATGGCGGAGAGTGCGACCTTCATCTACACGAATCCTACCATTGATTTTTTGAACTTTATCACTAGCACTGGATCATCAACGTATATCGCATAATTCAGGCGTTCGTCATTCTTGACGATGAGACAGAACGCATTAAATTTCTTGGCGATCTCCCGCAACCCTCTGACGTTTGCAAACTTTCCGTCCTCATGGCATCGCTGATTATTGGTGACATGATGCTGGTCAGTATCTGTTCATCGGGTTTTTGCTAAGAATTTCATGAGGCTACAGGTGTATCGCCTATGGGTTGTATGGGCGTATAACAAAGTCGTGACATTTCCCCCACTGTGTAGCTTATTGGGCTTGATCGGTAAGCCCCTTTCCAAGTGCTTGTTCGAATGCAGTCGTGACCGTATGCCAATGATAGTGTGTGCAATCGGAGCTCTCTACGAGATCTCACGGGCATACGAAGGAGAGTCTCTCTTTGCGTCTGCGCCTGGCGATTGGATCACAGCGAACTGCGTGTTCACACTCTGGTAGGTTGGACGACTGTGCTCTGACGTTGAAGTACTTGCTCACGTTGCAACAGTACAAACGTGTACAGTACTGGTAAGGTTGATATCATACAGAAGTGGATAACAGCTTACGCGACACTGAATGGCGCTAGGGTTCATAGCCTGGAGGATCTGGCGTGCCAACAAAGAGGCAAGACGTTTCGGTGGTGTCAATCTGATGGTAAGTTGTCGATATACTATATATCGCCGTCTCATCACTGGCCAACAAACAGGGCGTGTTGGGTATTCTCGTCGAAAGCGCCGCTCTTTATACGTAGGGAATTCTATTTCATCGCTGAAAAACGCATGCCCTGATCTCCCCCACAGCGCTTGGACCATTCTGTTCTTCGTCACCTTCCTCCTTCAATCCAACCTCGCGTTCTTCTTCAGCGACACGTATTCTGCTATAGCTGGTATCGCATTCATGCTTATCAACGTTCGGGTGGGCATGGGTTGGGCGCCGCGAGCAACCATACGCTCTGCCCTCTCGGCTAGCATCGGGCCCTTCTCCCCGGGAGCGAATGGGCCATATAGGTCATACATCGCGATGATGGCATTGACCCATCTATCAAGTTTGCAACTCGAGCTGCCCAAGCCGAGAATGGCCTTTATCCCTGACGATCACGATATCGTTTGGGCTCAGAGGCGAGCTAAATTCATTGCAGAACATAAGCTGACATATTGATGCGGATAGAAATCCCTCGCAACAGGCGAGACGTCGGTGATGACAAGGATATCGGTGTGATCATTGACGACAGTACCTCATGGCTCCCACAACCATATGCAGTTCGACGGAGTGACACATATGCGCCCTTAGTACCGCCTTGTCTTACAGTCTCAGCCGAATTGCATGTGAATACTACACGACCAAAATACAACGTAACATTCCGCCAGTCAGTACAAGTACAAGTACATCAGTTTCAGTGATTACACTCTGCTTTGATCAGACCCTGTGTTGAATAAGGAATCGTACGACTATCAATCCCAATTGTGTTGAACAATAACCAACGAGAAGCGACAATTGAAGTCTGACATCTAGGTCAGGCCTCTACGGCGGGGGTGCCCGGACTTTCGCCCCTACCAGAAGTTTGAACACTGATGGACGTCAAGCATGAGTGGCACTTACAATAATCCCAGGCTTTCTTCAAATCCTCCAGTTCTTCCTCGTCAAGCTTCAAATACGGTGATAGTGTGGTTAGACCGGACACGATTGATTCTTCCACGGCTTCTCCGCCATCCCCGACCCACAGATACGATGGCTTCAACGCAGGAAATTGGGGGCCCTTGGGACTCAGTGGGTCGTGAGTGAAAAGTATGGGTTCGCGAGTGAGACTAGATCCGTCTTCGGGTATCGAAAACATCGGCGTAATGAGGTCGTCCGTCCTGACCATCTTAGTCTGTTGCCACTAACTAGTGTCTATCTGTGAAAATATTGTGACCTATCGTGTTCAAAGGAAGAGATGGAGACGCTACCTTGGGAATTCGGCCTGCTTGACCCTGGGCTAAGGGCAGCGCTCCGCAAAGCGGGGCGAGGACAGGCTTGCTATCGTTGAAGCCGACAATCACACATGGCCTCTCCTTGGTGGACGGTGCCCCGGATCGGCTGCCTGAAGAGACCGCAAAAACGTGGCGCGTGGGCCGATAGAGGACCATTGAACCAAGGGGAAATTTACTCGCCATGTCAGGTTAGGTGTTATTACTCAAAGGAACGATCTATATAGGACGCCATTCAGCCGAGACGCTCGGGAAATCAAGACGTCTAATAGGAGGCTCCTTGAGAAGACCTTTATGCGAAAGAACAGTGGCAGAGGTCTCGTATACAGATATCCTGACAGTCTGAGGATACAATATGGTGACTGTGTAGATCACCCCGGGCTTCTAGCGAAGAATCCTGAAGGATCATGATGAGTCGAGATCGCATGATGTCGCGGTGGTACCTCTAGCTTGCATCGGCGGACGATGCGGAAGGCATAAGAAGATAATCTACGAAAGAGATAACCATTTCTGGAAGAGGAACGGAGGTGATACGCACTGCCTGGAGCTACCATAGGTTTTATCGGTGGGAAAAGTGGTTCTTTTCGACGGCAATATGAACAGGCATGCGTACACCGGACGTCGCAGTTTTTCAGTGAGGCCTTCCATATCCATAGTTAACGGTATATCGTGGATGTGTCGTGCATTGTTAAGCAAAATCTGTCTGCTGAACTTGCGTTTTTTGCACAGAACGACCATCAATGAAGATGAAGTAGTAATGGCTATAACCCTACCTTCATGATTTCTAAGTGCAGTTTAGGTATCTCAACACTACCAATGATATGCAACCCACGAGTGATATTGAGATGATATAATGATATGCAAATGACTGTAAATGACCAGTTCTCGAAAATGAATCGCGTGCTAACTGCGAATTGCATGTGGTTGCCTGCAGCACCAATAGAGGTCTTCCGCCATCGGAGTCACGGAACCGCGCACATTAACGGCGATTTGCGTACGAGCTGTGGTCCACACGTATACGGTAAAGCGTGAAGTAGAAGGAACACCAATTCCGGACAGCTGAGACGGGAGAGCCTCGAAAACCTGGTATCAGCGCTTGCAGTCTGCCCGATGAATCTGCGATCGGAACGCAAACGGGCGCCGCTGTACTTCGGATGGTGACACACCCTAGCCGTGCGCATTGAAACTTCCACCCCGTCTACTCTCAGTTCTGGGACGATGCAAGCTGAGTCGGTTGTTGTCCTCGCGCAGTCCTTTGTTCTTGCCAGACTCTTGACTCAGCGTTCGGCATATTGGACGTCGTGGCACGGATACCACAGGGCAGCCCTTCTACCGGCCCAGCCATTTGTGGCGTTACGCGTCCGCTTCACAGAATTTGGATGTGACAATGTGCACCTGTTCATAGTATCGCCCACAAAGCGCACTAGCGGCTTATATGCTGATTGCGACCTACCTCTGGTTCTGCAACCAGGCAACGCTCGACTTGACGATGCACTGCGCGCGGTGCCCCCGCTACCAACCTCAACACGACAGTTGTACCTTCACACATTTCCAGCCTTGAAGACTCAGAGGGGCATCGGAGGCATGCTTCAAGACGAAGAAAGCGACAAATTCAAGCTTGAGGAACCGAGCTTCCAGAGGTTCTGGTCGAAGGCGTGGAGCGAAGCAATGAAGTTTAGAAAGAAGGAGTGGGGATATGAGACAATGAAGCCACGAAGCTCTGGTGGAGACGAAGCTGTTCAAGACAACTGGGATACATTCAGTAAGGACGTGAATGACGTAGAGCACCTGCACGACCCCTTTGGCCGATGTGTTTTTGAGCGGTTAGAGTTCAAGGATCTCCCGCTGACAGAGGAGCCATCGATCTACCGAGAGCTAGCGATATATGACCAGTATGTGATAGATCTCACGAGCTTGTGTTGAACACTGATGATGCCCTGCTAGGCTCGCGGCCGACTACTCTTGGCGGGGCGTCAAGCGATCAATTTACTGGGTTGAAGCTTTAAGAAAGGTATGCCATCCCTACTCAGCGATGCTTCCATGGTCTTACATATTTCAGTTTGCCAATGAAGGGTCGTTCGCCGAACACTCGGTGGTCCATGGGGAACTGTGCTCAGGGGAGCTCCCGTCGTTCTCTGGCGACTTGAAGGAGGATGCACTAGCATTGCGCGCGATGCAGATCCCTGAAGACGGGGATCCCCCTCCTGCATCCGCAGCGGAAGAGGTCGTGGAAGTCAGCTGGGGAGACGAACCCGGGCCGGATTTCTCATCGGCACCTGAGGCTCTCCCGCCTGTAGTCGCAAGCGATATTAAGGTTGTTGTTTTCGACCTGTACGGAGCGATAATGGTACGTTGCGAGGCCGTCCACAGGGATATTATCTCATCATTGCTCATCTAGGACCGTCAAGAGGCTCTGCGCCGTGCTCTGAGCACGTTTATTTCTTTGGACCCCCACCAGCATACTGTAGACGACCTGTTGCGACTATACCTCGACGTCGAAGCTCATCGCATTCGCGAAACTCCTGGATTATATAGCCATGAATTGGCCCACGGCACACTCAGCAACATTTTGCACATCATCGGCCTGCATCCTGCGGGAGACATGGTGCAGCGTGCCGTCGATGCTATATGCCCAACTCCCTACACCGATGTCACCGACGCCTTGAGGACACTGCAGCAGCGTGGTTATAAGCTGCTGTATCTTGTTCCTCGCGATGCATCTCGCGTCTCGGACACTGGGTCCCTTCTTCCTCCTGACATCCGCACGCTGTCCGTCTCAACAGCTCATCTACATACCCAATCGAAAGGTGTATGCTCTCAAGTGGTCGAAGAATGCCAGTCAATCATCCCGGAGATCAAGAACACTGAGATTCTCCTTGTCACAACCGGGCTATACAGGATCGTTGAGCTCGCGAATGCAGCTGGGATACCGACCGCACTGGTCCAGCGGCCAAGTGTAGACGAAGCTCGGCTCGAGCGCGCGACGGAGCAAGACGAACTATCGT